TATATATATATATATGACTTTCATTCCAGAGACTTCATTCCGTTCCAAAACTGAATGTCAAATCCAACGAAAATCCAAAAGACATTCGTCCAGTTTCTGATGGGATTAGCAAATGTTCTCACCAGATTTTTTGTATGAACATTTGTACATCTTCCAGTGTATGGCCAACTTAAAAAAAAATTAGCAGATCCTACAAAGGTTTTAACCATTCCATATTCCATCTAAAACTAAAAAAAAGACAGTTTGAGGTTTAGATATATGTATATATTTCAAGTGTTTGTGTTTATTTTACATCATCTGTTGGTTTTTAGGTTAAAACGGAAGATCCGGCATTCACAAATGACCATCAAGCCACCACCAGCATTTCAGTCACTGCGTACAAACCCATTTCTGGCAATTACCTGCGCCTCGGCATCACAGGGACGGAGAAGCTGAGAGCTGGAAAGAGCATCTATATTAACTTCAATATTCGAAACAGCAACCCTGCCGTTCAAAGTCAGATCAACCACTTTACCTACCTGGTAATAATAATTGTCAGCTCTACTGTGATAACATTATAACCAAAGTGTAACTTAACCCGACACTAGCAAAATAGTGCGTCCCCCAGTACCTGCAAACTAGGTCAGCTGCTTTTCAGAGGCCCTCAGGAGCCCCCAAACCCAAGGCACGCTGTTATATTGGGGTCACTTCCTGTCAGAACCGCGTACCTTAGAGGAGTCTGAGTTGATTAGGAAGGCCTCTCTTGCAGCTCAAGTCCTAGAAGCCCTGGAAGTGGAACAGGTGCACAAGGACAGGAGAAGCATGAGTGCCAGTAGTACCGAAGTCCAAGACAAGGCAGGCCGAGCAGCGAGGTACCGGGACAGCAGAGAAGACGTAGTCGGGAACAGGCCGGGTCAGCAACTTGTGGGCAGTAAAGTACAGAGCAGCAAGCTGGAGCGTGGTCAGAAACAAGCTGAGATTGAGGGAATCCAGAAAACTGGAGCAGCTGTGCATGGCAGCCAATCAGCATCTCTTTTTCATTTTCAAAACTTAACTGAGAAAACTGAAGGGAGAAGCTGATTGGTTACTATGGGCAACTGCTCCAGATTCTTCCTGCTCCATTTTTGATAAATTCCCCCAATGTTCTTCCCAGCTTAGTGTCTGCTATACACTGGGGGAACATGGAGAAAGAAGGGAGGGTCTGCCTAGAGACTAAGGTGTACGTTTAATAAACCGTGATAAAACTAGCTTTATCACGAGTTAACTTTACTCAGCAGATCTCTTTGTCTTTCTCGGCTGCACAGAGGCTGTTTAATAACCTGCGAAAAGAAAACTTATCACACGAAACAGCTGTAAAAGGCTGAGATAAGTCGTCACGGTGATCAGTAGAGAAAGCAATGTGGGGAATGTATTCTGAGCTGCACAATGACATCCTTTGTGATAATCTACAATCCTCCTGACAGGATCGTAGTTTTCTCTGCCAAACCACCCAATAACGATATTACAAAGCACCTCTATAGCAAAGTGCAACAGTTATTTCTCCATTAGAATTATGAAAATTGCTAAAAAGCAGGATTTACATGTTCTGATTTGTTCAGCATGTACCAGTACAAAAACATGAATCAAACTACCAGAGGCAGCCATAATGCGAGGCAGTGATGGGGTTAAACATTCTAAAGGGGCACTCTGATGGAGCCAAGCAATGTAAGTGGGCACTCTGACACATGCT